AGGGAGGAGATAAGTCAGTCCAGGGAGGACGACAGGTCAAGGGGGCGGGATGAGGTTAGTAGGTAGGAGATGGGGATGCGGCTTGAGGTGGGAGGAGGGGATAGGTGGGAGGAAGGACAGGTTAGGGAGGCGGGGACGAGCTGGGCTGGTTTTGGGATGCGCTAGGGGGAGGGGAGATTTTGAAGCTTGTGAAGTCCACATTGATACCATTGGGCTGCAGGGTTCCCAAGCGGAATATGAGTTGCTGTTCCTGCAACCTTCGGGTGGCATCGTTGTGGCACTGCAGGAGGCCCAGGATGGACATGTCATCTGAGGAATGGGAGGGGGAGTTGAAATGGTTCGCGACTGGGAGGTGCAGTTGTTTAGTGCGAACCGAGCGTAGGTGTTCTGCAAAGCGGTCCCCAAGCCTCCACTTGGTTTCTCTGATGTAGAGGAGGCCACAACGCGAACAGCGGATGCAGTATACCACATTAGCAGATGTGCAGGTGAACATCTGCTTGATGTGGAAATTCTTCTTGGGGCCTAGGATGGGTGTGAGGGGAGAGGTGTAGGGACAGGTGTAGCACTTCCTGCGGTTGCACGGAAAAGTGCCGGGTGAGGTGGGGCTGGAGGGGAGTGTGGAGCGGACAAGGGAGTCGCGGAGAGAGTGGTCCCTCCGGAAAGCAGATAAGGGCGGGGAGGGAAAAATGTCTTTGGTGGTGGGGTCGGATTGCAGATGGCGGAAGTGTTGGAGGATAATGCGTTGTATCCGGAGGTTGGTGGGGTGGTATGTGAGGACGAGTGGGATTCTGTTTTGGTTGTTATTGCGGGGAGGGGGTGTGAGGGATGAGTTGCGGGAAATGCGGGAGACACGGTCGAGGGCGTTCTCGATCACTGAGGGGGGTAGTTGTGGTCCTTGAAAAATGAGGACATCGGGGATGTACGGGAGTGGAATGCCTCATCCTGGGAGCAGATGCGGCGGAGGCGAAGGAATTGGGAATTGGGGATGGCATTTTTGCAGGAAGGTGGGTGGGAGGAGGAGTATTCTAGGTAGCTGTGGGACTCGGTGGGCTTGAAATGGACATCGGTTTCCAGGTGGTTGCCGGAGATGGAGACAGAGAGATCTAGGAAGGAGAGAGAGGTATTGGAGATGGTCCAGGTGAACTTAAGGTTGGGGTGGAAGGTGTTGGTGAAGTGGATGAACTGTTTGAGCTCCTCGTGGGAGCACGAGGCAGCGCCGATACAGTCATCAATGTAATGGAGGAAGAGGTGGGGTTTAGGGCCAGCGTAGGTACAGAAGAGGGATTGTTCCACGTAACCTACAAAGAGGCAGGCATAGCTTGGGCCCATGCGGGTACCCATGGCCACCCCCTTTGTCTGTAGGAAGTGGGAGGAATTGAAAGAGAAGTTGTTGAGGGTGAGGAAGACAGGCCCTCTCCAGAATGCATGTGATTGTCTGCAGTGAGAACAAGTTTCAGGTGATAGCCTTGCCTAGGGATCATATATGCTTATCATCATATCTTAAACTGGAATGATCTCAACTGCACGCTGGACTTGAGAGTAATAATCTCTATTCCTTTCAATTATGCAACTGAATTTCGTGTCTCAAACAGTCAAGGTGGGTTTTTATTCAATAGAAATTCCCTGTTCCCATTTTCTCCCCTGAGCCTTTCATCCCTCTAGTCCTAAGAACAATAATATAAAAACACAGAAACTAGGAGCAGGAGCAGGTCATTTTACATAACCATTTTATAAAATTATGACAAGCATGGATAAGGTGGAAAGCCAAGCTCTTTTTCCTAGGGTAGGGGAGTCCAAAGTTAGAGGGCATAAGTTTAAGGGGGAAAGATTTTAAGAAGTCCTAAGGGGTTAGTTTTTGAAGCAGGAGGATGGAGCGTGTATGGAATGAGCTGCCAGAGGAAATGGTAGAGGTGGGTACAGTTACAACATTTGAAAGGCATTTGGATGAGTTTATGAATAGGAGGGGTTTAAAGGGATAAGGGCCAAATGCTGGCAAATGGGACTAGGTCAGATTGGAATGTCCGATTGGCATGGATGAGTTGGACCAAATGGTCTGTTTCTGTGCTATATAACTCCATGACTCACTTCGGCCATTCAAGCCTGCTCCACCATTCAATATGATCATGGCTGAACATCCAACTCAGTCCTGCTTTCACCTCATACCCTTTGATCCATTTAACGCTAAGAACTATATCAAACTGTGAACAGCCACAGTCTGCCACAGATTAACTACTACAGATATTTCACTGTCTTCAGACTATTCCTTACAAAAGTGCTATATCCAAGCATAGTTTATTTAAACTGACTGTTCAAAGTTGATGCCTGTGCTATAAATAATTTCTTGAATTTCTATTGAATAAAAACCCACCTTGACTGTTTGAGACACGGGATTCAGTTGCATAATTGAAAGGAATAGAGATTATTGCTCCCAAGTCCAGTGTGCAGTTGAGATCATTCCAGTTCAAGGTATGATGCTAAGCATATATGATCCCTGCACAGTTTCTAAGGCAAGGCTATCACCTGAAACTTGTTCTCACTGCAGACAATCACATGCATTCTGGAGAGGGCCTGTCTAGACATAGCCAGGTTTTGTATGTCTTTGAAGTCCTAATAATATTCTGAAGTGCACATAACCATGAAGTGTTAGGATAGTACTCAATGGAATTATGCCATTCTAAATTAGGCTCAGAATAATGAGTCCTGATCCTAACATGGAACACATTGTTCAGCAGCCCAGAAAGAATAGTTGCCTGCTACATACTGGAGTACGGAAAGGTAGGATATTTGGTGCACAATTGTCTTTAGATACAAGGAAATTTTACCACCACATGTAAAATCTTGTGCAAATCAGGGCTGACATGATTGTTTGTTCTCAATTGAGCACAGAAGCATGAGATAGATTTCAGTTTGATCATATATCTTATTTATTAATGAAAGTGCATATATTGTAATTACATCCCTCTGTTTAAAAAGCCACAACGAAAGTATCAGGTGTGTGTTAGACTGAATTTTGCAGTTACTTTCAAATCTGATTTAAGTCATTTCAAATTGTTGATATATTGTATCTTTTCTACTTAATTTGAACTAACTTTTGTATTTTACAGCTAACAATTAGTGGCTGCAAATGTTGGACACCCGGGATCACCTAACTTCTTCTGCGGAACGGAACCCCTCTGCTGTCTAAAGAGTGAACTAAAGAAAGCTCCCAGGCTCACATTGATTCATTGTCTTTTCCTATCATGAACTCAAAAAGTTATTATTTACTGAATGTGTCTTTCAAATTTAAAAAAACTGGCTCTCTCAAACTCTCAATATACAAAATCCAGAATTCAGGATGCATGATTGACTGAACCATCCAGTTTATTTAGGAAGAACTTTCAACTTATCACAGGTCAAACGATGTAACAACAAGCTTCTAAAACAGCAAACAGCTGTTCAACAGACAGAGTTCCACTAGAAAGCTTTTGAATAAGCTTCAAATCATCTAAGCAGTCAAGGTAATTAACAGCAATACCTTGAAAGTAGCAGAAGGACTCCCTATTGTTCCAACTTTGAGTTCACTTGAGAACGGGGGAGGCGATGGTGTAGTGGTATCATCGCTGGAGTGTTAATCCAGAGACCCGGATAACATTTGGGGGTGGCATGGTGGCTCAGTGGTTAGCTCTACTGCCTCACAGGGAATGGGTCTGGGTGGGATGCTCTTCAGAGGGGCAGTGTGGACTTGTTGGGCTGAATGGCCTGTTTCCACACTGTAGGGATTCTATGAATCTATTCTAAACAAAACAAACCTCCTTCAAATTAAATTGCAAGAAGCCCCACAGTTTACTGAGAATCCTCTTCATTACAGACCATTCTTTCAAGTAAAGCATCAACTCATCTAAACAATAACTACAGAACTGCCTCAAAGAAGCTGAGATAATCATAAATTGTCATCATAATGTTTTATCTTCATTTGTTACCAACTTTATATGTGATAGTGTGTGTGATATGAGCGACTGAGATGTTGTGTCTTAAATTACCCGTGTGATAACAAACAATGTATCTTTTTTAAATCCACAAAGAGGCTTGCTGATGGGAATGATTGAATCAGGACCACCTCTCTGAGGCTGAGAAAATACACAGTTCTTACATAGACTAATACATTGACCATGGGCTATGAAAAGGAACATATACATCGTATCCATGACAGTAGGGGTAATAAAACCAGTAGTTGACCTTATAACAGTCACAAGTCAAAGTAAGTTTTAATTACCATCAACTTATCTATGGTAGATAGAGATATGAGGTGAGCGAGCAACAAATGCTGTAACCCCCACAAGAAAAACAAAGGACCTTAAGTCCCCCATCATAATGACATGTGACCCAGAAGGGATTGCACATTTGGTCAAGTACTCCAGAAACTCCCTCCCTCATGGCATTGTGGGTCTATCTACAGAGGGTTTTTTTAATTCACTCACAGGATGACGGCATTGTTTTCTAGGTCAGCATTTATTGCCCATTCCTAATTGTCCAGAGTCACATGTAGGCCAAACCAGGTAAGGATGGCAGTTTCTCCTCAAGGGCATGAGTGAACCAGTTGTTTTTTTCCCCCAGCAATTGGCATTTATGGTCATCATTAGACTCTTAATTCCAAATGTTTATTGAATTCAAATTCCATGGCAGGATTTGAACCTACATCCCCAGTACCTTACCTGGGTATCTAGATTAACAGCCTAGCAATAATACCACTGGGCCATCACCTCTCCTCTCCACGATTAGCTCAGTTGAATCTGTTTCCATCCATACTTCCAGGCAGCACAATCCAAACCTAGGCCATGCAATGTCTGAAAACGTTTCCCCTCATCTCACATTTGCTTCTTTTGCAAAACACTTTAAGTCTGAGCCCTCTGATTCACTATTCTTTTACAAATAAGATCAGTTTCTCCCTATCTATTCTGTCCAGCCTTGTTTTGATTTTGAATACTTCTATCAAATCTCCTCTCAGTCTTCTCCGATCTTACCTCACAACTGAGGTTCACCTCTGAACCACTTCTTGCTAAGGACATCAAGCTTGTCTTTTGGATCTTGTGCTGGATTCCACCAAGCTTGACAATGAAGATGTTTGTGGAACCACTTTATCCTCTTGGCTGCCTGCCTGGCTGCACACATTTTCTCGATTGGCTGTAATAGAACGAGAAAGCTAGAGACATCAGTAAATTGTCAAAATGTCTAACCCTATCCATAGCCTTCTTCCCCTAGTTCATCAGCAAAAGTTTTGTATAGTGTCTTCACCAGCTTAATTTAAGGTGCTGTTTCTGAGATAGACTACAAACTCCTGTTTGACCAACCAATATTGTTCTCTGCGCGGGTAGTGATTAAGAAGGGTGGGCTACCAATTTGGGATATTTAGTCTCTTCTAACTACCAGGAATACCAGGAATTTGACACTATGTTAAAATGTTCAGGAAGTCTTTGCAGACATCACAAGAATTCTGAGAACTTTATATGGAAGAGGTACCAGATAGTTGTCTGTAGTTGGAGCTGATAAGGACTGGAAGGGATGTCCCCACGAACACTGAAGGAAATGGCAGCGGAAATTGTGGAGTCACTGACCATAATTTTCCAGTTATCCTGAGACTTGTTCCCTCTAAGATATGTGGCCATGACGATGCTGGGAAGCACTCTCACATCGATCGGGATGCCAATGAACAGCTTTCACATCTGCTGTGTATGAACTTCTGAAATCAGCAGCAAGGAAATGACAGGGAGGGGTGTGCCAGAGGAATGGAGAATTGCAAATATTATTCCCTTGCTCAAAGAAATAATGTAAAGAGAAGCCCAGCAACTGCAAGTCAATCTAGTGGTGGGGAAGATTCTAAAAATGAATAACTTGGAACAAAAATAATAGACACTCGGACAAAATATGGACTCACTAAGCAAAGTCAGCAGAAGTATGGTGAGAGCAATTCATGGTTAACAAGCTGCCTGAAGTTTTTTGTTAAGGCTAACAATGTTGTGGCATACACAAAGTTTCAGAAAGTATTTGATAAAGCTTGCACAACAGGCTTGTGGGGCAAGTTTAGCTCATGGAAATAAAAGGGACAGTAATTACATGGATACAAAGTCAGGTGAATGACAAGAAACAAACAGTAGCTAATTGACGCTTTCCTGACTGGAGGAAAGTCTGTTGTCAGTTTTGAGACCCTTATTCTTCCTAATCTATGTTAATGATCTAGACTTTGATTTACAGGATACAATTCCAAAGTTGTGAATGATTCAAAACTTGCAAATTTGTGATATGAGAAGGATAGCGTAGAATTTCAAAAGTTTAATGAAATAGATAACAAGTGGCAAATAAAATTCATTGAGAGAAGTGTGAAATAATTTGCTTTGGAAGAACGTGGGCAGTCAATATGAAGTAAAGGGAACAATTATAATTGTATAAATGAAATATTTTAGTCCCTAGTTTAGACTTGAATTTGAGTTTCATTAATGTCAAATTTACACACTCTTCACTAAACTGAACCTTCATTTTGTAATTTTGATATTCCACTGATATTTTTATTTGAGTAAAATCGTATTAAAGTGCAATTCAATATGATCACCGGAAAATATAAATTAGGAGCAGAAAAAGGCCATTCAGCCCTTCAAGCGTGCACTGCTATTCAAAAAGATCATGGCTGATCAGCTTGAGTTCCAAATTCAACATACCCAGATTATTGTGAATACTTACCTCAGTTTACGAAAGCTTTTACAATATTGATTGGCATGAACAGGGTGAGTTTAGAAACCTCTGGTAACATTTATTTATTGAAAAAAAAACAACTAAAAACAATCTGACTGGAGTCCAATTTATCATATTATGTTGAATTCCCTTAGCTTGAACTTATCTTGCCCAAATTGCTCTTATTTAGATTTTTGCACATTCACATAAAATTCATAGATTTAAGGTACGTGAGACGTTATATGCTACTTTTTGCATTTTGCTACAATTTTTAGTTGATTTTCTTATATACAATGCATTCAATACATAATCATCAATTTAATTTAATGCAGAACTCCTTGCTTGATTTGTGCATAAATCTGTCTAAAACCCTGTGAGAGGATTTGTGTCTCTTAACTTTAATCTGATATGTTAGGAGCTATGTAGTAACTTTTAATGTGTTGCATTTTGCCTCACAAGCATGGGAAAGGAATGGCTGGCAGTGAATGGAAAACTAAATGATACTTCTGTAGTCAGCATCTGATTTCTGGAATGGTTGATAATTGTTAACTTTTGATGTTGTGAGCTATTAAATTGGGATTAGCTAGGATTAAATCCTTCACTACAAAGCAAGTTTTACTTCAGAAACACAATCAGAAGTTGCTGGAGAAACTCAGCAGGTTTGGCAACATCTGTAAAGAGAAAGCAGAGTTAACGTTTCGGGCCCAGTGACCCTTCTTCAGAACTGACCTCTTTCTTCAGTTTGATTTTATGACCAACCCTCCTCAGCTAATAAACATCTAACTTCCCAAGACAAGATTACAATGATCAAAGGGACTTTAAGCATCTTTTACCGTCACTAATCATCCTGCCTTTCATGCTATCCAGTGATCAACATGTAGAATTGAAAATTCATGACATCTCCAGAGTATCTTATCATAGGTCTACAGAGTGACACCTCAAAGACTCCAACTCCTTCTGGGATCTAATATGTCCTGGCTTAACACTAGGATTCCACAGGTTTTGTAAGAAATAGAGCTTCCATCGCATACAAGGTAACAAGATGGGATCCACTTCAATGCTACGAACTCCTATGCTTCCACTTCCTCAGGATCAAGGAAGGCATCAAAAGGTTTTAAAATAACGTGACATCTCCTTCCCAGCACTGACAAACAATGCCACATTTTTCAGCCAATGTGTGCCTCTGATATGCAATTAGTGACAACAGCACCCACCATTGGTTACATAGGAGTGAACCTTCACATTAGGCCTGGATGGATAGTGGCAGTTCCCAGCCAGCAGATTTACATTGCCACCCCTAAACTGATTTTCAGTCATTGCGTCTTTAAAGACCACACCTGACTTATGGCACCTTTGGCAGCGTTCTCACCACTGTGCCCAAAAAGATTGCAAGTTCAACTTCCATTTATAGATTTGAGCACAAAATATTTGGGTGAAGCTCTAGTGCAGTACTGAGATGGTGCCACGCTGTCATAGAGGTTGTCTTTTGGGATGACATGTTCCAAGACCCTGTTGGACATTTTAGGTGAATGTAAAGGGCATCATGGGAAGTTACGAAGAAGGGTGTGATGAGAAGGGGGCGTGTGGATTTTATCTCCTGTATCATGACCAACATTCATTCTCATTCATACATCACTGAAAAGCAGATTAGCTGGTCATTTTCCCATGATACGTTGTTAGAGTTTGCTGTATGTAACTTGGTTGGCATGTTTCCTACATTAAGGGCAGCAACAACACTTCAGAAGTTGTTCATTGGGTATAATATGTTTTTGGACATCCTTTGATTGTGAAAAGTGTAAATGAAAGTCTTACTTTCATCTTTTCCAACAATACAAAGCAAGTGAGTATAAATGAGGTGACACATTAATGCGCTCACCAAACATCAACACATAATGCATATGCATTCTCATCCTGGAAATCATAAATAACACCAAAAAGAATGGAAGATTAATCTGCTACTTTTAGTGCTGCTGTTGAGATGCTTGCCTGTCAAGAACAGAAATTCAAACAGATGTTCCAGGCACCAGAAATTATTATATGCACCCTCAATATGCAAAGCACCCCTTAGGAATGGAAAATCACAACATTACCTCCATAATATAAATAGACCAGTAACATTGACTGCTCTGGTCCCATACATAAGAATAGGCACGTGGATAAGGTAAGAAATGGTGAACAAAGGAATGGACTTGTAACCCCAGTAAAATTCAAAGCGTTCTCAAGAGATGGAGGGTAACGTGAAAATGAGGAAGCAAAATAACAGGCATGAGTTGGAAAGTTCACCACCACTTTCTGAAGGGCAGCTGGAGACAGCGAATGAATGCTGGCCCAGCCAGCAAAACCCACAAGTGAATAATAAAAAGAGCAAAACACTATGAAATAACTGCACAGAGGCCAGTATCCCATCACTAAGTCACCCTTTATTTACTTTTGCACAGTACACTGGCTGTGACCAGCCAGCTCGGAGTCAGTCTCCTGAACTGAGAAGATTCTGAATTCCCTGGTTATATTGGTCAGCCAGGGCTTCCTCATTGGCCCAGGTTAACAAATCCAACCAGGGTTCTCATAAGTCAATGAGATCCAATGGGTTCCAATAATTACACATTACAAATACTGGACATGCAAATGCTAATTCTATTTTCTCCACTTTTCTATTCTCTTCTTTTATACCTGAGTTCAGTGTCACAGCATTTTTGGCTAGGTGTCATTTTTTTATGCTACAATCTATGATGTAAATGCTACCTGGGAAAGGGGCATATCACAAATAAAAATTAATCCTGATCCAGTGTCCCAAGAAGAGTCTTATTGGATGCAAAACGATAACTCTGTTTCTCTCACCACTCATGCTGCCAGACTTTCTGAGCCTCTTCAGCACTTTCTGTTTTTATTTCAGATCTCCAGCACCTGCAGTCATTTCAAACATCACCAAGTGGAGCATGTGGAGACCAAGTGCAAGTATCCAGAATCTAGAGCATCAGAGCCGCCTGCCTCATCCAAAATTACCTGCCCCAACTTGTGGCGGAGTCTGCAGATCCAGAATCGGACTATTCAACCACTGCAGAACCCGCCATCACCTACATCCCCTCCACCCCCCAGAGTGGAAACAAGTCATCCTCGACCCTGAGATACTGCCAAGGAAGAAGACGTTGCTTTTATTAATCTTGATCTTGTCCAGTGTAATTTTCAACAAGTGTCACCATTTAACAATCAGAGGAAAATATTTCTTTGTGCACTTTGCATAACAAAAGTGTTCTTTCAACAAGTTTACAATTTTGAAATATGTCGTGCACAGATGATATCGGTCCCCCCGACCCTCCTCCAGGGGAAGTAATCCTGCTTGAATATTCATCTCCTATCCCAGTCAAGGGGAAAGAGCTTCAAAGGCAGCACTCCTAATATCTACTATCTCCCTTTGAATTGTCTTTATGAAGTTAACCTTGGAGAACGGATTGAACCCT